GGTATTAGCTGGTGTAAGCAACTACAGAAAAATTTGCAAATAAGTCAAGACACATGCCTATGTTTCTGTGATTTTCTAGCACCACACTTCAGAGCTGTAAGTGTCTAAAAAGAAGAATGGCATCACTGTATTAACAACTAGTTCACATCCATCTTTAGGTTTAGTATGTACATGGCCCCTTCTTCCCTAGACCCAGTAGAGTGGGTTCTTCTTAAGGCCCCGATATACTTCAAGCGAAATCGAAGAACGAACTGATGTGACATAATTTCAAACAAAATCCGGCCAAAACAAAGTTCGTTTTGGGAGTTCGAAATGGCTTGCCAAAGCTAACTTTCCGGAAAAGTTTGTTCCAGCTGCAAAACACCTTCGTACTACCATTGGTACGTGACGATTACGTCATAGGAGGTGTGCGCTGAGGCTCCGCCTTCTTTCACACAGACTCTTCTCTGGGTTCATTTCGTCTGTCGAGTCCTTGGAGGTGAGATGTCCGCACAGTGGAGAGCCGCTTTATAGTAGCAAATTAAGTTTTGCTTTTGATGAAATGAGACACTGACACAGTTTTTCATGTTTAATACTGCTGCTTGCTTTTAAGCAATACATTGAATAAAGTGCCATGTAAATACACGTGACACTACTTCACGGGAGTGCTGATTTGCAGAGCTTGTGCAAACACAGCCATGTTGCTATGAACAGATGCTTTTTATAAAAAAATGCTTGCTGTTCTCTCCATTTTTGTTGTGTTTATTTTGTTACTGAGAGGAAAGCGCACAGCACATATTTACATATTCATATACACATTGCTTTCATCAGAGTGGGCGGCATCGGGATGTTCGATAACAGTATACCTCTGCACATGTATTTTGAACTTTGTTTTACCCCTAAACAAAGAACGAAAAAGAACTTTGTTTTAAGTATATCAGGGCTTTTATGGGATTCCACCACCGCAGGCCAGTCTAAGAAGCAGCGGAGGGGCCAAGGGGGAGGCCGGTATTATTAAGAATGTGAAGAGAGGTGAGAAAGGCAGGAATATGCAGTGCGAGGGGAGGAAGAGGGGTGTGATGTGGCTGAATGGAATTGTCTGAGGTGAGAGATGCAAAGAGTGTTTGGAAGTTGGTCCTTTATGCACGCCCCATTCCCCCTCGTCTGTTTCCAGCAATGGCACAGGGTAACACCACTCCTCCAGGCCTGGGTTGCTGTGCACTGATTAAAAAAAGTGTGTAAATGTAAGTGTGTGTGTGAATGAGTGAGTGAGAGCCGGTGCATAGGGGGGAGGCAGGAGTGTAAATGGAATTTGTGCAGCAAACAGCTGGACTAGTTTATTTAAGCACAGGCAGGCCATAGTGACTGACCCCAGATTGACTTGGGGAGAGGACGAGCCGAGGTGGACTTTTATGACTTTTAGGTCGAGATGAGATGCTCGTATTTATGAAATTTGCCTTGAGGCATGCCAACATGTGAATTACTAATTACTTAAGTAAATGGATCTCTGGAGCAGATACTGATAATAAAGTTGGTTTCACCAGAGGGGTCTTATTGCGTGATTAGCTGGTTGAAGTATAGCAGTTAGCAAGTTAACCGGTGTGGGGGAAGCTACTTCGAAAATGTAGTTTGCCAAGATACAAGCTACACATTATTTTAAACTGTTAAACTCCAGTTGAGCTATGAAATAGTTATTTACATTACAAGCTAACAAAACATAGCAAACTACATTGTAGCTACTTAAGGAATCAATCTAGTTTTAAATGTGTAACTATTTGATGACAATTTATATTTAATTTTTTTAAGTATAATTTAATTTATATAATTTAAAACTGGCACAAAAATTGAATGAGTATTTCTGAATGAAACTTATATAATTAAATATAATAAGCATTTCATTAAATATTCTGCTTTATATATATATATATATATATATATATATATATATATATATAATTTTCTTCTCAAATATTAAAGAATACCTAAAATGTAATTGAGGGCTTAAATATTTATTTTTATTTATTTTAACAAATTAATGGTTATTACTTTATGTATGAATATTACTTAGTTGGATGTGTGTGTGCGAAATACAGTGCAACATTGAAAACAGCAATGTAGTGTTGTCACAAAGCAGTTTGTAACTGGAAAGGCTACAATGTTTTGAAAACATCTGAGCTACTGTCACACTACTGAAAATATAGTTTGTAGGTATTTTTAACCATTTACTACCCAACACAGAGTTACCACTATGATTAAGTTGATAATGCACACTTTATTTTAACTGATAATTATCCTAAAACCATAACATCTTTTATATCTTTTCTTTTAATGCATATTTTTACTGGAGATTCCTGTAGAGCCACAGATGCAGATCCGAAACATCAGATCATTCCATCGGTATTACTGATATGCCTGCTTGTGGGTTTTTAATATACATGTAAATGTAGCTGAGTGTGTTGAAATGCGATTTCATGAGTGAATTTGGTCCTCCGTAGTCAAGCATGCGCCCCCTCACACAGTTTACATTTGAGGCAGAGGGAAAGAGTGAACGTAGGGGTCATTTCTGAGAAAAATTACGTACTTCATATGCATTTAGATAGACATACTGAAATATAACCTTTTGTATATTCAATCTGGATCTTTCCAGCAATGCTTATTAAATTATTCCCTAATCGGTCACGCAACAAAGGCAGCTGATGAAAAAGACAATTTCTTGCTTTTAATTGCCCATTTCACGTGCCGCTCGTGCTACACCTGTGCGTTTGTAATGAGAGTGGGATATTAGCGGAGGCCCTGGCAGACCCGACAGAGATCAGATTGACTGTCAGTAAAGTAGAATGAGCAATATTGTGCTCCAACACTTTACGAAACACGCACACGTGGTAATAGAATGTGAAGAACTAAACCTCTATCAAGGTTCATTTGGCTCATAAACACTCTCATTTCAATCTTTTTTCTCGTCCTTTTAGTGAAGCTAGTTTTGCTTTAAAATAGCCCCCCATTGTCCCAAGCTGGGCTGAATAGTTGGCTTCATTGTGTGCCTATGGGAAGTAGAAACTGAACAGGCCATAAATGCAGTCCTATAGCGCAGAGAGGTCGCGCAAAGGTGAACTTTTACTCCTAATGGAGGCTCCAGCTTTAGCCTGGCCCGTATGGTTCTGTGCTCCTTTTGATTGCCTTCTTAACCATCAGTGCCATCCGCCATCCGCCTGGCTCACAAAACAAGAGCATGACCGTTCTTTCTCTTTTTCCTCACACTCCTACACCCCCTCCCTCACCCTCACCACCTCTCCATCCCCCTGCCTGGTATTGTGTAGCACTTGTCCTTTGTTCCAGCTTTTGGCGCATCTGGCCTTAGATATAAGAAGGAATGAGAGAGGAAGCTTAAGATACCTTTAAGAAAGAAAGAAAGAACAGCCATTTCCACAATCTGAAAAAAAAGTGAGTGGAAAAAAGGCAGAGGGAAAGCGAGTGAGCGAGGGAGGAAAATCCAAACGGCAGAGGTCAGCAGATAGACAACAGTGCCCCCCCTTTGACCCCAGCCTGAGATGAAGGCAGTAAAAGGAATGCCTAGTCTGAGACTCCCCCTGCTCTCCAGCCCGCTGCTAGTGATAAAACTCCAGACATTCTCTCATTTGATGATGCACTGCCATGTCAGTACATTCCTCCCCTGATCTTTTTCTTTTTTTAAGCCTTTAAGGTGATGTCGTAGAGTGATATTGGTGATAAACATATGAGAAAGTTTAGATCTCTGGTCAAATTAATTTAAAGGAACAAAAACATTCGATTAAAGTTTTATGCCATCAGAGGCCATTTATTATAGTAAAAATCCCCTTAATCAAGGTGAAATCTAAAATCATGGCTCACTTAAAAAAACATATTTTTTCAGTAGGTACATGTATTAATTATATTCTGAATATTAATAATATTGATATATTAATAATAATATAGTTAATTATCCAAATCATAGGTGGTTTATAGTTGCATGTTCCAATGGCTTAAACACAGTAACAATTTAGAGCTGGAATGATCCGTGTTATAATTAATAAATAAGAAGATTAGCAGATGCCTATGCGAACATTTCTTTGTCTGTTAGTCCTGCTCTTTTTATTTATTTCTCCCTTTCTCTCACTCTCTCCCTCCACCCCAAGCTCTCCTCCCTTACTTTTCTCAGCCTGAAAAGAGTAGCGGGGCTATTGTTTCCTTAAAAGTCTACTAATTCCCCCCTTAAAGGATGAAATGGAAGTGTCCAACTGTGGTAACAGCAGGAGGACATAAATCAAGTTGGAACCCCTGAGCATGGTGACCAGGGTCACAGGGTCACTAGAGGGGATTTAGGCACAGCAAGGCCAGAGTACTCCGATGTATGGTGCAAGGAGGCTGAGGGTCAGAAGCTACAGGGGCCAGTTATGTTTTTGTCACAAATGTTATGCACAATATGCAGAATTGCGGAGCAGCCTGTTCTTTCTGGCGGGGGAAAAAAAAATCTCCTCATTGAACACACAGTTTCATTATTCTGCCTCTAGGGAGACACAAGGAAAAAGAAAATATGGCTTGTACTTGTGTTCTTTGACAATGCAACACTTTTCTGTTAGCAAACATTTTCTAAACACATTAATTCCTGTGGTGCATATCAACTGTGTTACATCTGGCATCAGGGTTTGAATGGTTCAGTGGTTTAAAATAAAGTTGTTAAAAAAAGTAAAAGGAGTCTCTTGAACTGCAAATAATTTTCTTCAAAGTGCTTTTGTGCACTTTGCTTAGTAGGCAATATATATTAAGCTAGCACAAGTTTGTACAAGTCATAAGCTTTGTGAACATTTCTGTGTTATGGAACAACTCTCTGACACTCCAGCTGGCGTACAAGAGGATTAGAGAAAAATCCCTCAGTTACCCCTCTGATTAGCTATCTGGGCTGATCTGGACAGCAGCAGGCTTGGATGTGACTGTGATTACAGAAAAATACAGCAAAATCTCCAGTGACTTTTCAGTCATATGTTGCATCTCCTTGTTTTTTATAGGTTCATTAACGCAAGAAGAAGAATAGTGCAGCCCATGATCGACCAGTCCAACCGAGCAGGCAAGTCCCCCATAGTTTCTGTATTCAAGTCCCGCAGGCGAAAGCCCCCTGCAAGCCATGCACCCGGAGGCCCACCTGCCGGTAAATACTTAGCCCAGCCTGGATGTCAACAATGATTGACCACTAAAATCCATCCAATTAACCCAAAGCACTAATCATGCTGACTTGGGCACTATATAACCCAGTGACGAAGAGAAGCGAGAAAACGCATACAATGGATTAAAGTATTGAAACAATAACTATAACTGGATCTTCTCTATGCAACTAATTATACTGGAGAACAGTGGAGAGTTGTTCGGCAAAGTACAGAGGATATTAAAAAATTTTCCCCCTTTTTATTTACTTATTTATTTATTTTGTTAAACTTCATATTTTATTTTGTAGAGGCAATGTTTGCCTCCTAGCTCAGTTCTTCCTGTTAGTGAACAGTGCCCCTGGTGCATGGCTTGTTGTGGACTGCTGTAAAGTTTATTACCTGTAATAGGGTTCAGGGGGCAGGGTTGCATTAGGGACTCAGTAAAGTTCAAAGGCATTCATTGGGGTTGAGCTGTTGGTTTTGACCAAATAACCCCCAACACACACACACACACACACACACACACACACACACACACACACACACACACACACACACACACACACACACTTTCAACAGCGTGAACTCACGGTAAGTACATCTCAATTAGCTTGTGTGGATAAAAAATTATCACTTAGGTTTTCCTCATTTTTTTGTGTCGTCTTAAAATGTTTCTTGTATCTATAGAATATAGGCTTAGTTTTTTTGTTCCTAGTACTTAAGCTTCATTGGGCATATTCTGTCAAGTGTTTTATCTCTCACGAAACCCAAAGAAACTGTGTGAAATGCTTAAGTCTGCATGTGTGTTAACAGATGATGTTTCTCCAGCAACTTAAACTTAATTAAAAGCATTAATTGACCACTGTTCGTTTCCCCCACATTCCCTGACCATGCCCTCCTGCAGTAAGTCAAGGAGCTCCCTACAACCCAGATGGTCAGCCCGTGGGAGGCTTCGTGATGGACGGCCAGCAGCACATGGGAATCAGACCACCTGGTAAGACCTTGGCATGTCTTCTCCTCTGACATCTCCCACCTTCCCACAAGCCCCCTCCTTCTCTTCCTCACTACCTCCTTCTCAGTCTGATTCTAAGACCCTTGGCTAGCATAGGTGTGGTCCAATGCATTACACACCTTTGTCCCTTCATGCTTCCTTTCTGAGACCTTGGCTTTCTAATAGCCATCTTCCCAGAATTTGCTCTTCTCTCTGAATTCAAGCTTCTTCCACCCTGTGGTCACTGTTGCTAACCACTCACCCCCTCTCCCACCTTGCCAGATAAGCTGCAGGATTTATCCAAAGCTAGGCTTCCTTCTAACCTCTAGCCTTTGAATGCATTATTTACTTGTTTATTTACTTATATTGTCTTATTTGTGCCATATGGTGTTCTTTTCTGTTCTTTTAATAAATTGGGGATTGTGCTTTTGTTTCTTGACCTCCTGTCTCTGAGCTGTGGTCTGTTTATTTTCTCATCTTTCGGCATCTTCTTCTTCGATTGTTTTCTCTCCTTCTAGGGCCTATGAGTGGGATGGGCATGAATATGGGCATGGAGGGACAGTGGCACTACATGTAACCTTCTAGTTAACCAATCGCAAAGCAATGGGGGAAGTAAGTACAAAAGCAGGGTCATCAAGCATCCATAATGTGTGACATGTTTTCAGCAATTAATTTGAATTGTTTTTACGAAATGGGAGAAACAAAAATGTCTCTTTCCCTCCAGAAAACAAGCTGCTTTCTCCTGCTTACCAATACTAATATTTCCTGTACTTGTGGGTGACAAGATCCGATCAGGAGTTTTTGTGCTTGTGTATGTTTATGATCTGTGCTGCCCTTTCTTACTTCTGAAAATTTTTGCCCATGTTACTAATGTTACATGTTACTGGCCATGTGCATAAAGTCATATAAAAAGGGGAAATGAGTGTGGGCGAAAGAGAAAGAGAGAGACAGAGCAGGAGGAGGAATAGCTGTGTGGGGAAAGAGGCAAATGGAGGGTGGGGGGATTGATATTGGGGTTTTGGTCGGAGAAGGGGAGGGGTGTGTTACCATAGCAACAGACTGATTGGCAAAATGTAAGCAGTCTGCAGCAGTGCAAGGAGAGAAAAGTGCATGTCCCCAAAGTGTCATAAATCTGTCTCCCTACAGTTGATGCATGAGTTACATTTATACACCAACCTGCGAGGCAACACACAAAGAATCGCTCTCTCACCCTGCAACCAAATACATAGCCACACATTTGGAAATTATGTCAGTCTTGCGTGGAATGTTTTAGGTGGAGCTGCTTCTATCGACCCTGACTTGGTCCACTATTTCCTTGTCTGTCTTTCCTAATAGGATTACTAATGGCAAAGGCAGGGGAGATGAAGGAGTGCAAAATGGAGGTGTGCACAGCAGGGTACACAGCTTAGTCCAGCCTAATTGACTATATCCAAATTAAATATGCCATCACAAGCGGTGTAACAAATGGATTTGACTTATTCAGTATACAAAAATAGCGATCATTAATGCAGCCAAGCACAGAATACCTCTGTTGTCAAAGAAACTCTCTACTTCACTGTCTTTAACCGAGAGACATAGGCTGGTAACACAAGCTCTGCGCTTTAAAACGTCATATGCCCACTTTGTGTGCGTATCTAAACACTGAGCGTGTTTCCCAGTGTCCAAATGGCTGCTTACAGCAGCTGCTGTAGTTCCCAGAAGAGACGAGAGAAACCTGCTTTAAACAGCCTCAATTTGCTTGCCGAATTCTGTAATTGGGCCGCGTGTAGAATCTTAGATGAGATGGGTTGAGGGGAAAAGAGAGCGAGCGAGAGGGGGAAATGAGGAAAGAAAAGGAGGCAGAGTGTGACAGAAATATGTCGCCATGGTGAAGAATGCCTGTTCTTTATGGCTTCATCACTGACATTTCCTAGCTTGTCTAATTTATGTAGTAATGTTGTTACTATAGTTTCTAGGTCAATTAAATGTAAGTGATGTGTTTTATACTTCGTGACCAATTAAATTAATAGGTTATTACAAAAAAAAAACGTTATCTTATTTGATTAAGAGACCAAGGATTCATTATATTTTATAAGCAATTTTCATTAGTTGAGGAATTCTCCTCAAGGCGAGATTAAGCAGTTATTTGCTGGGAAGTCCCAAGACCTAAAATTAAGGTGTTCCAAGCAGTCACACTGCAACATTACTTAAAACCAAAGCCAATTAAACCTACTTAGCAAAGCGTTATGCTTTCTGCCCATGACGATTATAGAGCTTATAGCTCTCCGAAACAATACACCTGTCAGCGTGGGTAAAGCCTAACTACTCAAGCAGAAGAGGGCGAGCCTTTGATAATCGAGGGAATGACTGTTTTATGACCATTTTCCCCCATACCGTTCTTTGTGTTTCTTCAGCAAAATTAGCCAAGGGTGGCCAAAATTTTTTAATTTTACTTTCAAGACAATAGTGAGCACAGAGAGCATCAATTATGGGCATATGGACAAAAATGTTGCCCTCCCCGTCCATACTTGAACGCAGCTGGTATGCTTTGGTGCGCTGGAAGCTCTTGGAGACTCCTTTGTCTGAAATGTCATTCCTCCCATTCATTAAGCAGAAGTTTGTTAACCTTTTGCAGGGTCAAGGTACCCATTTTCTGCTCTGAACTTTTACTTTTAAGGGGGGAAAGGGTCTTCAGGAATTTGGCTCCTGTATTGTCTATGTCAAACATCCCCTGTTGATTCGGTCCCATGGCACCTCTGAAAATAGACAGGCAAGGAACTCAATGTATTGATTGACTTATTAAGTGAAAAACCACATTTGCAATGTGTGCCCTTTTAACATCCAAGCATTGCTTTTCTGATGAAGTGGATGTTTTCCCTCCTCACCAAACAACGTGTTCAAGGATTGAAATCAAATACAGCTGATGACCCCTCAAAAGCTCAGGTCAGGCCTTTAGTAGTAAATAATTGCAGGGGCATACAGATTACTGCTTCACATGCTAGTGCAAAACACCAACCATTATATATGCCATTCTACGGCTGAAACCTAAAGACCTACAACCAAGGCAATAACAAAAGGGATATTTTTTTAACTTGAGGTTGATTTGTTGCTTTGTATTGCTGCTGTCAAAGGGTTAGTGGCCTTTCTGCTTGTGGCACGTGCACGCACCCAGGTGAGGCCTCTCAAGTGACGGCCTTTGTAAATTTTAACCTTTCGTCTTTAATTTAAGCACAATGGTAGCGTTTCTCTGAGGGGCTCTCAGAGCGAGCCACAGACCTTTGCTCATTGTGTTTAAAGTGAGATAAGTGTGGGGAGAATGTAGAATAAAGGAATGGCTTATTTTACCTCATTTGTCATTGTTGTGGCTTCCACTGGCATAAAGACTTGGCTCGTGGACACGTAGCAGTTCATTTCCTCCTATGTGCCAGTTAGTGTTAGACTTCACATTTATATAATTTCGAAGGTACAACCTTTACTAGCATGTGATTAAAATGTTAAGAGAGAGTAGATTTATGGATAAAAAATTATTGTTGTAAAAATTATCATGTGCTTTTTAAAATATAAACACATCATAGTCATTGTTATCCAGAGGGGAGCCAATTATAAAGATTTCATCATAGCATTGTTCTCTGAGATGAATATAAAATTAGCAAATTAAGTCTAACAGCTAGATATCAACCTCCTGATTGACCTTAATGAAGGACAACCTTCCGGTTGACTAGTCAGGTATGACTGTGGCAGATTCCAGATCTGATGGATACAGCACTGAGTACAGATCCCTGGTGCAGGCAGCAGTAAAGTGCTATGTTCAGGCCAGTGAGTTAGTCCCTAGAGAGCCACCCTCTCCCACTACACAGATTCCTCTTCTAGTCTCTTCCCATTCATTACAGAGGACGGTCCTCTCTCCAAGGATTCTCTTACAACCACATAACTCATATGCTTTCCGGTGCTGTGATTGTAGAGTCAAACCTGCCTTGTAAAGGGAACGATTGGCTTGATGACCTCCCAAAATATAATATATGCAATGTTATGTCTGACTATTCCAAATGCATCAACAATAATCGCTATAATCTTCTTCTTCTTTTTTTTTCTTCCCAAGGACTACAAGGCATGCCAGGGGATTACCTGTCACACAGTGGCCCGGTGGGTATGGCTATGGGGCAACCAGGCTACGGTGCCTCCCAGATGCCCCACCACCCTGCTCAGTTGCGGCACGGCCCTCCCATGCGTTCCTACATCCCTGGACATCCCCACCACCCAGCGATGTTAATGCACGGAGGACCACCTCACCCTGCCATGCCCATGTCAGCCTCTAGCCCCCCTATGTTCAATCCAGGAGACCCTACCATGGGAGGACAATTCATGGACATCCATGCCCAGTAATTTACTAAAATGGATTCTTTAAATGACTGCTACGGATAGAAGAGGAGCTGCGATTGGTTTTTCTGGGGCTTGCCAAGCACGATTATATACTGACTTGTTACAGAGACTGAGGAGCTTGCATCTTGGCTATAGATTCGGACTAAGAAAGAAGCCCGATTTCTGTATACTATGGGACACTTTAAAAGGAGGTGCCCTTTGCTTAGACACAAAAAGTGAGAGAGAGAAAGAAAGATTGAATTTATTACTATATCAGCCTCTAAAGGGGAGGGATGAGGACATACTGTATACTGTTGTAAAATTGCATTGGACTTTCATATGAACTGGGAAAAAAAGTATTGTAAATGCTATCGTATTGTTCTGCATATTATGTTGTTTCTAATAGATTTTTTTTTAAAAAAGGATGTGAACTTTTTTTCTTTCCACACTATGTGTGTGCCATCTCCATAGACTTTTGGCCTCCTCCATAAATCACTTTGCGTTTAAATGAGAAAAAATATGTGAATAAATCAATAATTCATTGAATACATATTTGCCAGGCCATTTTTCTTTTTTTTTTTGTCCTGCAGGAGGGCAGATTTCCCATGACCCATCACGGCCTTAGGAAGAAACTGAGTGCTGTCTACCTGTCTGAGCCACATCCTCCTGCCTTTCAGGAGGTCTCCATTTTTCATTCCCAATTTGCATTCCCAATACATCATAATAGAACTGCCCCCACATCATTGGAACCAATGAAAATTATTTTCACTTACCTTTACTGGATGTGTGAGAAGCTGAATGTGAAGAACAAGCGTGTGTGTGTGTGTGTAAAGCCAACCCATCAAACTTTCAGCATTTAAGTTATAAATGGGATTTGGGATTCTTTTGATTAAGCAAACCTGTTTTTGGGGATATTGGTTTAACGTTTTGCTATCACTTGTTTGAATTTTGAAGAGTTTATGTATACATTGTAAATGAATAAATTTTGTGTAAAAAGAGGGGGAAATATTTTTCATATATTTGTGGTTTCTGGGCCTGGTTTGATTTTACATACGACTGGTTCATTTTATGAGGCTGTTAACTGACCAAAACGTTCAGGTTTTGTATGGTTGTCATTCACAAAATACTATAAATCCTTTAAATAGTTTGGGTTATTTAATTTCACAATGTTTTCAGATACCAAATAACAGCGTCGTACTCTATTTCATTCAACATATTTTAATTAATGCATTATTTAAATCATTATCCATCATTAGATATCTTTATTTTTAATACTAAAAATCTTCAAAATAGTTATTCATTAGCCAGTGTTCATTTTACTTTGATTTGCCTTTTTTTTTTCCTTGTTCATTTTGATAACCTGGATTACATTCTTTTGCCACCCTTAGTAATGAATCCAAAATTCAGTCTCCTGATCTAATTCTAATTCTGATCTAATTCTCCAAACTTCTAAAGTGTTCAAATTTGTGATATGATCAAGACCAAAGATTATTATGTAGGTGTTCGAATCAAACTATATGGGTCCATAAACCACCTATAGATTCAGCCAGGGGTTATAATTTGAGACTTTTATAAGACAGTCCTATCCCATCAAAAAGCTTTGGGTCACACCTTTCCACAGAGTAATTGAGTAACACAAATGAACAGGAAGTTATTTTATAAATAGCATGTCATTACAAATTGTTTGTTATAGGCTAATTAACTCTAATAACACAATGTGAGTTATTAGAAAACACTAAGGTAAAATGTGAACATGGTCTGAACATGAGGCTCTTAGTGCACAAGGTGAGTCCAACTTTTTAAACTCTATATTGAAATGTTTGTCTAAAAGCTGCAAATTCAACGTTCATACATTTGCTAATGTGCAACAAATGTGCGGCCCGTTCGAAGGAGGCTCAAAGGGGGGGTGAAGATGAGGTGAAGGGACGGATAAAGGAAGAATTATCCCCCGTTTAGCATTAAAATTCATTTAGATAAAATTGCCACAAACACTTAAATAGGATGATTAGTTCCCCCTCACGCCTTATTTCACTCATTCAATGGCTCCGTCAAGAGCGCTTGAAACGGCATTATCTAGACGGCTGTTTCCAAGCTACCCGCTAAAACCGAGCGCTTAAATTATTCTAAATCAATCAGACACAACTACTCGAAATATATGTTTACGATGGATTCGATACGACCACGACAGGGAAATGTGGTATATTCTTGTGGGAATGCTGGAAAAACTTACCCAGCTAGGTGCTGCCATGTTAAACTACACTCCCATAATAAATCAATAAGTTCTCTTTCTTAAACCCGTCCCTCAGTTTTCTGTCGCCATTGTATTTTGATTACCTTCTCTTCGCTGAATGTTTTGCTCTCAAGCAACGCGGAACACAGGCGACGTTTTAATGACACCGTTTCAGCTCCTCAGATTTGAATTCCTCAACCGTCCGCCATTCGGTGCTCTGGAGACACGGGCGGAGATAAATCCCATGTTTGACTGCCATCTTTAGGGGATCTGGGAAACTGTCCTTAAGGGGCATGTATATTTTCTATCCTGAAGTTTACCCAGATTTTGCTATGGCTAGTACCGATGACTATTACGGTCTGAAATAGTCGATTACTAAAATTATCTAAAAAATTTTTTTTAGATAAAATAGGCTAAATAAATAAATAAAGTGTTTTGTCACGCTTTATACGACGGTTTATGTCAACATATAACAACTACTGAGTAATATTCATGAACAATATATAGCCTATGCCATAGGCTATTTATTTCATTCCTTTTTTTTAAATCACCGATTGTTTATTGTTGTTTTGCTGTTGTAATTAACTATTTTAATACGTAGCTAGGCTAATGTGTAACACTAATACCTGTAATAAAGCATTGTGTTTTTGATATGCTGCTAATGCACAGCTAGACCTTTTCAAATAGATGTATTTGAATAAATATAGGCTATCAAGAATAATACCTACGTACAGAACATTAGTTTAGAAACATGTTAGTTCTGTTCTGTTACTGGGTAGGCCTAGGTAAGTTTCCTAATGAGCGTTTCGTGACCTTTGCAAATGAACATGATTATTGATTTTCTTCATTTATCTGCAGTAAAAGACATATAAGGACGACGCCTTTTCCATCTGTTGTTTAAGAAGAACGAAAGAAAGCTTTTATCTGGCTGTGGCCACATACTGAACTCTGTGAGTAATGACTGAAATACATTTGTTCCATAAGCACAGAGGTGCCCAAACAGGACTTTCTGCCTCCCATAAAGTGCAGCATAGGCTGTGCTGTTGCATGTTTCTGTCATCTGTTCTCTGTATTCAAGTAGTTTTGCTTCAGTTTGAAAACTTTCACAAAGGGTCATGTGTCTTCGCAGCACGCCGCAGTTGCAGTGGCAGATGCAAATGTGGTCCACTCTCCAGTCACTGGTCATATTTGAGAGGGTTATGTCCACTCCATGAAATGTGTGTGTGTGTGTGCCAGTGATTGATTGTTTTTATTTATTTATTTTAAATTCATCTAATTTACATTCTCCCACAATTAATTTGTTTAATTAAAAATGTAATAGGCTATAATAAATAACACAACACTGAAATTCAAATGTACACCTACAAATATGTCAAGAACATATACCGTATACCATATGATTTTAGTGGAAGGTGCTACAATATAAACAACTGAAGTTAGCCTATATAAGGAATCGTGATTTTAAAGTATTGCAAGCATATGCAATTGCAATCAGTGCAAGAATGAAAGTGTTTTGATAACCAAAGCGACATTTCGCGTTAGTTCAAATAAAGTATAGGCTATTTAATACATTTTAATAAATGATTATTATTATTATATTTTTAAATATGTGCTTATATGTAAAGTAAACAGTCTATGTCACTTTGCCAGTGATTGATTGTTTTTATTTATTTATTTTAAATTCATCTAATTTACATTCTCCCACAATTAATTTGTTTAATTAAAAATGTAATATAATAAATAACACAACACTGAAATTCAAATGTACACCTACAAATATGTCAAGAACATATACCATATACCATATGATTTTAGTGGAAGGTGCTACAATATAAACAACTGAAGTTAGCCTATATAAGGAATCGTGATTTTAAAGTATTGCAAGCATATGCAATTGCAATCAGTGCAAGAATGAAAGTGTTTTCAAATAAAGTATAGGCTATTTAATACATTTTAATAAATGATTATTATTATTATATTTTTTAAATATGTGCTTATATGTAAAGTAAACAGTCTATGTCACTTTCTTTTTCACTTGTCTTTTATTTTCTTGTTTATTTTGAAGAACTCATAAGACAAATGAATGCACATTTCGGCAATCTCACAGGCCGACCTCAAAACAAATAATAATAATAATAAAAAATCGCTTAAATAAATGAATATAAACAGCAAGGTCGATTTATATCAAATTGAAAGACCAATAAATAGACAGAATTGTGAGAAACCGATGCCTGACATGTCTGTATAAAAGTGCAATTTTATTTCACTAACGTCTCAAGCGTGTGTTACCACATAGAATAATGTTATGTGGCAGCTGGTGGACTGCTAGAGAGAAGTCTGGAGAGAAGAGATGGGGTCTCCAAAACGGCAGGGCCATTTTGGATGTCATCTGTTTCCTTGGTGACTTCGCCCACCCCTGAAAGCCCCTGGGCTCCAGGATTGTTGGAGAGAAACGCGCTATTTTCTGCACTATCATTTATCACTGTCACCACGTAATGATTCCCCTCGCAGCTCCTTATTGATGTTTGTAATTGCATTATCTCATAAGGCGGTGATCAATGAAAGCGGGCTGCATTCGGGGGTCAGAGGATGCAGGATTGCTTTCTTGTCCGTTCAGTTCAATAAGCGCTTATTATACAGCTTCGTACTTTCTCTTTTATGTTATGAGGTATTATGTTTCGCTTACAATAACCACTTATGTTCTCTCGTCGCTTTGATCCCGGTGAGACAGTGAAGTACGATGCATCTGCTGTGAGGGGCGAAAGATAAGCGCAACACACATTCAAAGAGCAAAACTAAAAGAACCTATCAAGTTATGAGAACTTTTGCACGTAATATGGTGTAGTATTTTATAAATAGTAACCCCTTTTTCGATCATAAATAAACAATTATGCATATACTACATACAGTATAATTAAAGGCTATTAATTCCATATATGCTTAATTCAGCTAGAAACGTACATAATGTTGAAAGCAGCACACGCATATACTGAAAATAACTCTGAACAATTACTTCAATTAATGTATTCCATTAATGTATCCAGAAAATAATTTTATTTTATATCGTACATTACTTGATTCTTATAATTGTGTTGCGTTCATCGCAATATGTATACCCTTCTTGAGGAAATTAATCACAATGGCAAAATTCTATTGGAGATAATTATTTAAAGGGGATTAAAC